GTGAAGGATATGAGGCCCTGAAAGTGGTGTCTGACTTCAACGTTTCCTCCTGCTGCATCTAGGTCCCTAACGCTGGGGTGGCCAACCCTGAGTGGGCCTTCTATTCCCCACCAGAGTACCCCATCAGAGCCTCCATGTTATGAGCCCCACTGTGCAGTATGCTGGGCCGATCTCAAGAGTATCAGCTCACACCTGCTCACTGCTTGACTCATCACATAGTTCTCAGTGAAAAGCCATGAGCTATGTTCCAATGTCCATACTAGCATACCACTAAGAATAATGCAACATATTGGGCATGCATTCTAAGTTGCGTAGTGTGGATATTAGAACAGAGCCCATGGTATTTTGCCTAATCTGGACCGGGATTGCAGACTACAGGCCCAGTTGTTGTCTAGATCAGTGCCATTATTCGCAGCCATAGAAATGTGACTGTCTCATTTTCTTGTATTATTTTGATGCATTGCCATTTAAATCTGTTATTTGTTGTCTAAAACTGTTCAAATGCTTCATGTTTGTTATGTTGTCAAATCATTATTTTTTATTTCATATGTATGAATTTGGGAGGTTTTGTACTTTTTTTGGTCCAATCCATTACATAGATGCCTATGTGGCTCAGTATAGATACACTCAGTGTTGCTTAATATGCCATTTAGCAGACGCTTTTATCCAAAGCGACTTACAGTCGTGCGTGCATACATTTTTGTGTATTGGTGGTCCCGGGGATCGAACCCACTACCTTGGCGTTACAAGCGCCGTGCTCTACCAGCTGAGCTACAGAGGACCAATGGATATGCTAATTTTGTTTGTACAAAAGAAAGCTCTGAAATTAAATGTATTCACGATAGTAGTGGGACAGAACTACATTTTTAAGAACAAGTCTTAAGAAAGACTAATGTTATGTAACATTTGATACTAGTTTCCCTTATGAGCTGAGACCTAGCCTTGGACTGAGACAGTGCACCAGACCAGACCATTGGTGTATGGAAACAGACTGTCTCAGTAGACACATGGGCTGCACTGCTAACAGCATGTGGTAGCTTCACAAAGTGGACCAGTGAGCTATGTGCAATCACCCAACAAATACAATCCCCAGTATATACAGAGACCCACTGGGCACACACTGGTTGAATCAAAGTTTTTTCCACGTCATTTCAATAAAATTACGTTGAACCAACGTGGAATAGACATTGAATTGATGTCTCTGCCCAGTGGGGACACACTTTTACTGTGAATCTCTCTGCCTGCCACTTTCCCTCATCAAGACCAAATATACCATTATGCCAGCTTTTTGATACAAAAATGGTAAATACACAAGATATGTTTAGAATATATTTTATTAATATGAGCACAGTCATAGAAAATGGTTTGTGACAAAATACATGTGGGAAATGTAGGCTAGTACTTTATATCCTTCAATTCTCTGATCAGATGTCTGCATTACATGTAGGCCTATAATGTTGATCGACTCTTAATGAACAAACATTGTTTGCTCTTTACTTGTGCTTGCATAGAAACTTAAACTTTTCCATGACAGTGAAATCATTTTTGTATCAATCAATTATCAATGCTCTTAATAAATGTACTGTATGGTAATACATTCACTGTATAGTATATCTTGTTTCGTTCATGTTTTCCCTTTATAATTTTGTTATAGACTTGCAGTCAACAGTTGAACCAAGGAGAAGTTAAAGTTGTCTGCTCATACATTATTCATAAAGATAAATGCCATGCTGTGTTTTAATTGCTTGCGAACCATTTATATAATAGTGTTATGTTGTGCAAATGATCAACACATGGATGATTGTGAGAAGGTGCATCTGACGTTTTAACACTGTCTTGTGAAACAGCCTTTTTTCTAACTGAGAATGTGTGGGCGAAAGTTTGATGAACCAATGCAACAACTATTTTAGGGGCTCAAATATGTGTACTAAATGACTCTAGAAAATGCCAATTCTTCTTCATGTTGAGGGGAGAAAGAGGTTTATCTGGACACTTGAAGGGATGCTTTGAAAGGAGGCTTAGATCGCACCCAGTGAAAGAGTAAGCGGGTCAGAGGCGGAGGATGGCATACAGGCGTCATCCCACTCTCCGCACAGACCAGAAGCGTCAACTTTTTATATCAATCGCAAGTGAACTGCTACAGCAAGGAAGTATCCTCAGCTGAGCTGAGATATCCACACCGAAGACAAAAGAGTCGAACGCTTTTCCCCCTCCTTCAACCAACCTATATTTTGTAGGGGATCTGTTTTTACAAGGCGGAACCACTATTCTTTCGATGTTGACATCGTAGTTTTCTGATTAAAAAGGCACTGGGCTCAAAACTTTTGCGTTTTGCGCCTATGTGAGAAGTTCAAAAGCGGATTTTCAGATATTTTACCGTTATTAACAACTGTTATGTCCCGCTACTGAAGCGGTTTAGGACATGTCCGATTCGTCCAGGTGAGTGCAAAATGAACATAAGGAAATAGCATGCTTTGATGTTTTTGATAGCTAAAATTTCAGTAGACTAAGAATAGACAATATAACAGAAAATCTCACCGCCGCTCCACCAATTTTGGATTTCACTACCCAAGATAGCCCCATAGGCCTAATTAATCGTTTTTAGATCATTATGGTGTCTGGTCTAAATGCATTTATTTTGTAGGCTACCACATCAAATAGTCTATTCATGTGTTTTCGTAATGAAGCAAAAGTGTTATATTCGGCTTACGGCGCACGCCTAGACGCGCACGGTGTGGCATTAATTGGAGAAAGTTTGTGCTTGTTTTGATAAAGCCCCTCCGGTGTCTGCACAACGGTTTAGCGTGTGAGAATGATGTTTTCTTAACATAGGTCGTTCCTGATGATCTTTAGTAGCCTATTATTTCCATCCTAGAAAAGCTTGAAACAATAGCCTACGCATTCCCGCTGGGCACACACTGGTTGGATCAACGTTGTTTCCACGTCATTTCAATGAAATTACATTGAACCAACGTGGAATAGACGTTGAATTGCCGTCTGTGTCCAGTGGGATTGGTATTGAATAGAATAAAAATACCCAATATACGTTTCTTTCCACGGCTGCCTGGATTTAGGCTATATTTTGTATTCCTGTTGGTTGCAATGCGATGTAGTCTATAATATGCCTATAGGGCTGTTTTTGGGGGGGATAGGAATGAGAGAAAGGCAGGCAACTGATTGTTTTGTTTTCCTTTTGTTTTCCACATGAACGTACCTTCGCTCCTCTCAGACTATCCAGCAGTAGATGTGTTACCTGTTGAAGTTGCACGACAATGGAGCAGTGGTGTAATGTCCTTAAGTAAAAATACTTTAAAGTACTACTTAAGTAGTTATTTTAGGTATCTGTACTTTACATTACTATTTATATTTTTGACTACTTTTACTTTTACTTCACTACATTCCTAAAGAAAATAATGTACTTTTTACTCCATACATTTTCCCTGACACCCAAAAATACTCGTTACAATTTCAATGCAGAACAGGAAAGTGGTCCAATTCACTCACTAATCAAGAGAACATCCCTGGGCATTTTACATTTTAGTAGACGCTCTTATCCTGAGCGACTTACAGTTAGTGAGTGCATACATTTTTCATACTGGCCCCCCGTGGGAATCGAACCTACAACCCTGGCGTTGCAAGCGCCATGCTCTACCAACTGAGCTACACGGGGCCAACGCTTGCAACGCCAGGGTTGTGGGTTCGTTTCCCAAGGGGGGCCAGTATGAAAATGTATGCACTCACTAACTGTAAGTCGCTCTGGATAAGAGCGTCTGCTAAATGACTAAAATGTAAATAGTGCCGTCTGTTTTTCTTATTATAAGCAATTTGCAATTATTTATACTTTTACTGTTGATACTTAAGTATATTTTTGCAATTACTTTTACTTTTGATACTTAAGTATACTTTTAGACTTTTACTCAAGTAGTATTTTTCTGGGTGACTTTCACTTTTACTTGAGTCATTTTCTATGAAGGTATCTTTACTTTTACTCAAGTATGTAAATTGGGTACTTTTTTGACCACTGCAATGGGGCTCCTGTTCTCGGGTGATTCAGTGATATAAAGGCGAGGGGCCGAATTGTATTTACAATTTCAAGACAAAGTAAAAAGAGATAGGCTACTACTTCAACCTGTGGGTGGCGATAATGGACCAGTTGGCCGCTAGCCTATGATTTTGGAAGCGTTTTTTTCGCCTGCCAGTCACAGACGCATTAATCCAATCAGGTCTGCTTTCAACACATGCTGGTAGAATGTGTGCGGAGTCTGCCGACACTCAAGCAACAAACTGCGTGACTATTGTTCGTCGTCTGACTGTCTCTGCGTTTTGGTTGTCTCTCAAATGTGGCTTTCGATTTAACTCAGAATTTATTTGATATGAGTAAGTATTTATGATATAGTAGGCTACTGAAAGTATTATAAAGTATTATGAAGCCGACAGGTAGACTATAGGGCTAATATAGAAAGAGTGTACGCTGCCTGCGATCCTTCATGCGCAAGAGATCCTCCATGCGTAATTTGGAACTAATTCGTGTATGAAATAAAATTTTCTGAATAACGATCAGATGAATTTCGAAAACATGACTATAACTAGATTTGTCTTGGGGATGCACAATATGCTATTAACAACTTTCATTTCAGATAGAAGAAGTTAACTTGGCTTGGAGATGGGGTTGTGACGCAGTTACTACGGCTCGTAACTTCATGCCAACTTTTTACCCCTGCTAAAAATGCTGGAATCAGCACTTCTATCCAAACAAACAATGGAGGTAGGCCTATGTGGAGAGGAAGAAGTAACGGCCGAGTCAACAATTTGGATAGACTTGACTCGACCCGGCGGGATATTTAGTCATGCGCGTTCTGTTGTATCAGCCTACACATTATGACTGTTTAGACTTTGAGTCCACAAGAGCAAATCTCCAACAAATAATGACATTGCCCCGACAAAATCAGAAAAATAGCCTAACTCTGATACTTGATCTATCCTACAGAACATAAAATCAGTCCAATGGCTCGACCATCCTAATTGAGAGAGGGAAATACGGAGAATCGCATCCCGGTGGCGGAGCAGCCTCCCGTGCCGAACCGTCTGACAACCCCCAGTTCTGTGAAGGGGACCAGCAGTCACGGGGAGGAATAATGATGCCAAATAGTCTGCTTGGTTTCCAGTCGAGGTCGCCGGTGTTCAGAACACTGTCCAGGTCATCCAGTGGATATTTTTCGTTCGACAGCGATTCTGTTCCAAGCTCCCCGCTATTGAAAGATAACAAGTCGACACAGACTCCGAGCCCATCTAGCCAAGTCATTACTCACGCACTGCAGCGCATGTCTCAAGAACAGGAGACCCGGCGAGATGATGGTAAGGCACACCCTTGCTTGTGTCGAACAAATAAATGTTGTTACTCACTATCCCGCCAGCGTTGGGCAGCTGCATGGCATGGTGCACATGATAAACCCTTTATGCGCAAATAATGATGTGTGCCCTGCCATTGTGTCAATCGGAAGGTGCACTTTGTTTTGAACACTTAACCCACACCAGTTGACGACATTCCCTGGCTATTCCAACATATTAAGGACCATTGGTTTTTTAGCGTATTCACTGATATGGGGGGAGGATTGGGGGCTATTACGCACGGATGCGTCTTGGTTTATTGCATGCTATTGTTCCTGGGCGGTTTGTAATGTCTATTGTTATATTTACTTCAGTACCGTAGTCATTACCATATCTGCATGTGTCGAGTCTACAGAATAACGTGACCATGAGCCAATAGTTGGATTCAACCTCAGCAGGAAGTTTCTAGAGAACAGTATCTGCCCTCTGTTTACTGAGTTGTCATAAGCCACCAAGGATCCACCTGGGCCCAGACAGGGTATGTGTTTGTGCGCGCGAATGATAGCAAAACATGCGCGTATGTGTGTGTTAAAGGCACCTGTGCGTGCACACAGATTTACACTCAACCTCAATAACATTCCCTAACAAAGCCAGTGGCTATAGAATACAAGCAAAAGGAAATACACAGGGACAAACAGGCACAGTGCATAATAGAAGTGATTGAGCAGCCTGATTCACTTGTGTCCTTTTATTTGCGCTCAGTGTTGCAGAGGCCACATGTAGTGAGTTGGAGTATAGGCCAGTCAAAATAGACCTCTGTGTCTTTTGTCAGCAGCAGACAGGGATTCCTCTCCGTTCATTCTCCTTAGGAGCCGGCTGATATAAGGGACAGATAAATCTCTATCTGTAGTGTTTCACGAAACATCTCTAATCCCAAAGGCTACTCTTAATGGGGTAGAGAACAACAACTGTTCTATCTCTGATCTTGGGAAGTAAGTGAACTGGCCCCAACTCAAAGCCATTTCTTTAGATAAAGTCTGAAGAGTATGTTTGTGGAGAATAATATAAATGTTCTCCAGTTTTAGTACTACCGTATGTCTGTTATTGCCTGAGGGAGACGGACGCTGGTTGGAATTGTTTATTGGTTTTTAGTATTTTCTGACTCAGATATGAGTCATCCTAGCACACATATAGAATACCACAAGTGTGGTATTATATCTTCTCAGGGCATAATGCCTTTGGTTCTTTAAATGGCATTTTGATTTTGACAACTTTACTTGAGGATTCTTAACAAATAGCCTTTAAAACACAGTAATAAGATTGTCATAAGATAACAAAACACCACATTTCATAATACTAGTCCTACACTCATCATGGGAAATGCTGTGATGATGCATGTCTTGAATTGTCACTGTGCTATGTGTTATTGTTATGTCTCCTTTATGACAGTGATATAAAGACATTATACCAGGCCACTTGCAGTAAAGTAAAGTAAGTAAAGTGTTTCCACATTAACGTTTGGTTCAACTGATATTACAGGGCCCCTGAGGGATATGAGAAATATTAGACATATGTTTCATGACACCTGTGAGTCATAGAAAGAGATCAGAACACATTCATATTGACAACTTAACCACACTATAGGAACCACTTGGCTTGTCTGCAAAGTGTCATACTGGACTTTTCTTAGTAATGCTGTAGCTTGGTCTTTGTTATTAGATTGTGTTCCAATGATTTCTGACAGCTATTTGCTCTTTGTCCACCAGACGTGTGGCCCAACCCCCTCCACCGCTATAGACCACGCCCACCACCAACTGCAGGGGACATGCGGCCAGAGACACTGATCGGTCAGGAGCTTAATCGCATTGGAGATGATTTCAATGATCTCTTAATACATGGGGTGAGTAGTTACTGTTAGCTCAGCTGGTAGAGCACAGCGCTTGTAACGCCAAAGTAGTGGGTTCGATCCCCGGGACCACCCATACACAAAAAAATGTATGCACGCATGACTGTAAGTTGCTTTGGATAAAAGCGTCTGCTAAATAGCATATTATTATTATTATTATTATTATTATTATTATTATTACACCACACCAGCACTGAGTCTGCTAACCTACTACTGTATATACACATATAGGGTTGGAGGAGCCACAGATAAGTGATGATGAGGATGATAATGATCCATATATCCAGATGATACATCATTTTTGGGATGTTAACATTTAATTAAAGGACTCTCTTCAGGGAATGGGTAGCTTCAATATCCAGAGGGTACGGATATGCTACACAGGCACTGCAAAAACGATTATTTCAGGGTCTTGATGATCACTGTTGTCACTGCAGGGCAGGGTAAAGTTCATCTTCCCATTAGATAGTGTCAATAATTTAAGTGTTGTCTCAGAGCTGCTGCCAAATTCATGACAGCACCGGTGAACAAAATGCCTGTGCAGCCAGATGTTTTTTTTCCTTCTCTTGCTACTTGCACAGTACATTTCTGGAGGTTGCATCACCTTATTTACAAACCATATCAAGGACTGCATTGTATCAAATGGAGCTGATAAGGTGCTCAGCTCAACATGTGCCATTCTAAATTATTTCACGCTCGCATGCTCTCTTTGTGTCCTTGACCTAGCATAGACACATTCTGTGCTGTAATTTCTTATGTACTGAGGGCACTCTGGTTTTATAACATTAGTTATAATAGGTACAGGACAGGTCCAATAGCCACATTGAAATTGTGGTGCATAGTGCAGAAGGCAAGATAAAGGGAAATCTGTGCTACTGCTATTGCAACAGTGTACAGTAGATTGTATGTGACCATGGCGATTGATCAGCCAGCTGTTCATCTACAGTATATTGTCATGTCTTTGTATCTTAAACAATCTCTGTGAGGTGGTGATTAATCTTACCCTGGGTCATCAGTTTCCTGGTTAATTTCATAACTCTGTTTACAGTGACCTGCAAAAGTATTCATCCCTGTGGCATTTTTCCTATTTTGTTTCATTACAACCTGTAATTTAAATTGATTTTTATTTGGATTTCATGTAATGGACATACACAAAATAGTCCAAATTGGTGAAGTGAAATAAAAAAAATAACTTGTTTAAAAAAAAATCTAAAAAATAAATAACAGACAAGTAGTGCGTGCATATGTATTCACCCCCTTTGCTATGAAGCCCCTAAATAAGATCTGGTGCAACCAATTACCTTCAGAAGTCACATAATTAGTTAAATAAAGTCCACCTGTGTGCAATCTAAGTGTCACATGATCTGTCACATGATCTCAGTATATATACACCTGTTCTGAAAGGCCCCAGAGTCTGCAACACCACTAAGCAAGGGGCACCACCAAGCAAGCGGCACCATGAAGACCAAGGAGCTTTCCAAACAGGTCAGGGACAAAGTTGTGGAGCAGTACAGATCAGGGTTGGGTTATAAAAAATATCAGAAACTTTGAACATCCCACGGAGCACCATTCAATCCATTATTAAAAAATGGAAAGAATATGGCACCATAACAAACCTGCCAAGAGAGGGCTGCCCACCAAAACTCACGGACCAGGCAAGGAGGGCATTAATCAGAGAGGCAACAAAGAGACCAAATATAACCCTGAAGGAGCTGCAAAACTCCACAGCGGAGATTGGATTATCTGTCCATAGGACCACTTTAAACCGTACACTCCACAGAGCTGGGCTTTACGGAAGAGTGGCCAGAAAAAAACCATTGCTTAAAGAAAAAAATAAGCAAACACGGTTTGGTGTTCGCCAAAAGCCATGTGGGAGACTCCCCAAACATATGGAAGAAGGTACTCTGGTGAGTTGAGACTAAAATTGAGCTTTTTGGCCATCAAGGAAAACTCTATGTCTGGCGCAAACCCAACACCTCTCATCATCCCGAGATGATGTGGTCCTCTGTAGCTCAGCTGGTAGAGCACGGCGCTTATAACGCCATGGTAGTGGGTTTGATCCCCGGGACCACCCATACACAAAAAATTTATGCACGCATGACTGTAAGTCACTTTGGATAAAAGCGTCTGCTAAATGGAATTTTTTTATATATATATATTTTTTTTTATTAACACCATCCCCACAGTGAAGCATGGTGGTGGCAGCATTATGCTGTGGGGAGGTTTTTCATCGGCAGGGACTGGGAAACTGGTCAGAATTGAAGGAATGATGGATGGCGCTAAATACAGGGAAATTCTTGAGGGAAACATGTTTTAGTCTTCTAGAGATTTGAGACTGGGACGGAGGTTCACCTTCCAGCAGGACAATGACCCTAAGCATACTGCTAAAGCAACACGAGTGGTTTAAGGAGAAACATTTAAATGTCTTGGAATGGCCTAGTCAAAGCCCAGACCTCAATCCAATTGAGAATCTGTGGTATGACTTAAAGATTGCTGTACACCAGCAGAACCCATCCAACTTGAAGGAGCTGGAGCAGTTTTGCCTTGAAGAATGGGAAAAAATCCCAGTGGCTAGATGTGCCAAGCTTATAGAGACATACCCCAAGAGACTTGCAGCTGTAATTGCTGCAAAAGGTGGCTCTACAAAGTATTGACTTTGGGGTGGGTGAATAGTTATGCACGCTCAAGTTTTCTGTTTTTTTGTCTTATTTCTTGTTTGTTTCAAAGTGGTAGGCATGTTGTGTAAATCAAATGATACAAACCCCCCAAAAATCCATTCTAATACCAGGTTGTAAGGCAACAAAATAGGAAAAATGCCAAGGGGGGTGAATACTTTCGCAATCCACTGTAGATCTTACTCTAATCATACTCAAAGCTTTGTTGTGTTCCTTCTTGGAGAAAATATTTTGTTTACCACTCTATGGAGAGTCTTCTCCCATGTTCCATTCTTGTCACTCTCCATCTGAGCAGACTTGAAGTGTTTTCTTCATCCCCAAGGGTCACTACCTGGTGCCCATAAAGGTGGACAGTTTGTCTGTATAACCAAAAATATTAACTGAAGACACGTACTGTTCTTTCGAATGAGTGTGTGAGGATTTGCCGTGAGGTGAATGTTGTGTTACTAATGGCCTCCGGGTGTCTGAGGAGAAATAAATATTTACACACCTTTCAACAAATGAGGCTGTGATTCAGACTTAACACACATTGTAGAGCAGAACAGGGCTTGTTTGTGTGTGTGTGTGTGTGTGTGTGGTTCTGTATGTATGTACTCTCTTGGCTAGAGGGAGGTGTATGTGTTTTGAGAACAATGAGCACAATAAAAAGCGGAACATGTTGTGTTCTATGTTCTGGTCTCAGGTGTTTGGTTGACATCAGAGTGAGGTATTCTGCAAGACTGTCTCTGTCTAGAATCTAGAGCGGTCTCATATTTTTTATTTTTTATTATTTTTAACCTTTATTTAACTAGGCAAGTCAGTTAAGAACAAATTCTTATTTACAATGACTGCCTACACCGGCCAAACCCAGACGACGCTGGGCCAATTGTGTCTCCCATCTGTCTCAATTGTCTATTAAATAACTATATACAGGTATTACATTGTGTGTTACTGACAAATGCAGGTCTTTCATCTAGCTCTATGTATAGGTTTTCAACTGCCAATAACTGTCATAATGCTTGTATCTGGATCAGAGGTAGTATCTCCTGGCTAGTGACTATAAAGTGAGTTATTTCCTTGTAGACAAAATGTTTGTGTGTGTGTTTTCAGGTAAGGTGAATAAAAAACACCTACACACTTTGTTTACTGATCCACAGATCTGTGACATCTGTCAGACTTCCCAGTCCTCATTTCTGATTGGGTCTATTGGGTCTATGGCCTCAGACATACACACACACAGACAGAAACACACACACAGACACACACACACCCCTCCTTCTCTGCCTAATAGCCATCATGGAAAATATTCTGGCTGTCAGAGTACGCAATCAAGGTCAAGTTTGAGGGTTTGAAAGCTCAGAGAAGGAAGGGTCAGGTTATAGTGACTGGGCAGATGGTTAGTGAGTGAGTGGTTGTGTTGCAGCATAGCATGGCAGGGCTACGTGTCTGCTCAGCTTCATTACGCCTACCCTGTGGTTAAGGCTCTCAGAGAGCCCACTGCGGGCTCTAATTATCCACTGGTCCGGCTTTACAGGCTTCACTCACCCAGCGCCATGGAGACACACTCAGTCCAGCCCCGGCCCTCCAGACCTGATCTTTGTCATCTTCTCCCAGGGTCAGTTTGAACCCAGGCTCCAACGGTTGTCATGTTTTGTGTGAGGCACTGGAAAGAACTTCTGAGTGGAGTTGGTCCTCTGTTAAATCTTTGAGTGTGTTGCGGGTTTGGGTGTCTCCATACTCTCTTTGTCTGTTTCTGTGTTGCTTGCGTGTGCTCACATTTTACATTTACATTTTAGTCATTTAGCAGACGCTCTTATCCAGAGCGACTTTACAGTTAGTGAGTGCATATATATATTTTTTCATACTGCTTAGTGGTTGCAACGCTGTGAAGTTAACTTTGCATGTGAAGGTGCTCTGTCCTGTGGACTGAAATAGGAGGCTTTTAATTCAGGGCACTCTTCTGAATTAAACTTTATTGTTTTCTTTCAAATACTTTGAGCGTTTAACTGAACCTTCCCAGACTGACAGATGGGCAGGGTTTGCATTTTTGGGACTATTCCATTGGTTCCATTGCACCAGGCCAGCTCAATCAAGCGCAGCTAAATTATTTGAAAGAAATCCAAGTACTTTTTGAGCCCTGGTCTGGTGAGACGTCTCTCCAGTGGTGAATATGGCAGATAGTAGTGTGAAACAAACGCACCCTGCTAATGCAAAGCAGATGTCTGGCCACAGAAACATGTTATATTCTAAGAGAACTAATGTCTGCATTTTGCCACTCAAATTATCTGTGCATTTACATGGCAGCTGACTTCTTTGTTGAGTTTCTATTTTTTTTAAATGGGGTTTGTTACTCAAAGTGATTTTCCTTAGAAAGTGGTGACACCCTGTCTTATTTGTGATGCAAGGTTATTTTGGTTTAGGCCCTGCAGTCTTTCTCTTGTAGAAAGAGGGAGAGAGAAGTTTGTCTGTTTGGAAACTATTTTAAGCAGCTGCGTAATAACTTGTTTTGATCAAATAAAAGCATATGCTGAGTAGCATTGAGTGTCTCAGTGACAACTTTGTTTTTCCTCAGCCAGCAATTGCAGGCAGAAATCTCCAAACGTATTAGCGAGTCACTTTCATTTAATGTCGTCTACTCCAAATTGTGTCTGCTCTCCCAATTAGGTCGAATTGTTTTTCAGTGTTCTTCTGGCCTTGTAAGTTGTGGTTCTTTGTTTTGCTTGCATGTGTCGCTGCACTCTGCGTTCTCACACCCCAGATCAATTGTCAGAGAGAGATTAGTCATTCTTCTGTGTGTGATGCCGGCATGCCACAACACAGTTTGGGCACAGAAACAACTGAATACTCAGGCCCTGATCCATTATACTTGAGACTTGATTTAAGTGTTAATGGTTTGCAACATTGTACCAATTTGCTGGTTGTGGGTGTGAAACGTTCAGTGTGTGTATTTAGTGAATTTGGGTATTATAACATTATCACTGCCAAAAACATGATTCTTAAAGGGAAAGAGAAATGTATCCCATTTTTAAGGAAACTAACAAGTACAATACACACTAACTTCACTAACTATGTGTGAAATAGCTGAAAGTCTTTGAAAGTAATATTGGAATATGTTTTCTACTGAACCCCTCCCCCCCTTCCATCAGTTTTACACAGCTAATAACATATTATTAAAGGGATCATTCACCTGTTGATTTGCCTTATGCCAGCCTCTCATGTTGCATGCCTCAGGGTGTGAAGTGGCGTGTGATTACATACTGTGTACTATATAATGCCATACAAAATGCAACATGTAGTCATGATACTATAATACATACCAGAGAGGTTTTACCATCAGCCTCAATGGCCAAATCTCAGAAAACAAGTCTATGTGTTTACATTGTGTTGAAACCACTGCCTAGAATGGTAGGATGTGTTTAATTTGTAGAGCTTACAGTAAGTACAGAAGTCTTTCCTCTTTCCATCTAATTCCATTAAAATCTCTTTACCAAAGGAACATACAGTATTTGTTTCACACATTGTTAAATAGAGTCGTAAACTTCCAATAGGATATGTTCTAATCAAGCAACCTTTCAACAGGTTGTTTTAAGTTATTGTTAAGTCTTTCAGAACAATCATTTACATCTAGCCAAACCTTCGATCTGTCAATTCTCTAATGAACACATCATGTTTGGCCTGAATGTGAATGGGGTCTTACAAGGTTGCCAGTCCTGCTCTATCTCACAGAGAAATTAATGCACCTCAATTTAAGTTCACTTCCGCATCACATGTTTCCTCAGACACTATTCACAGTCACTCCAGGTTTCTGTGGTTCTTGGCACGACTCGTTTAGCGTAACACCAAGCATTGATATTCCTCTTGCATTTGTTCCTAAAATCCTGTTGTTGAGAGCAGAATACCTGAGGCACAGGGCTGGTTTACAATGTCTGCACTGTATGGTTACCTGCCAAGCTGCTCTGAATCGACACACCTGCAGTGATTCACTAATGGAGCGATGCCCCAGTCATACTTCAGCACAGTTCCTGTAAGAAACAGTTTTTTTTCCAACTCAAACCGCTAAGGGAAAAGTATAACTCAGACTTGGTGTTTTCTCTTCATTTTATACTTGTAAAATGAATCACGCTTCCTCCGTCCCCTCTGCCAAAAGGGCCACAGGGGAAATGCCAAGCGCTTATCGCAAAAGCCCTGCCAAACTAGTGGCCTCAGGCCAACGTGCTGGCCTGGCCAAGACAGCCACCTGTTTTCACCTCCCCTCTGCCAAGTCTGCAGAGGTAATTGTCTGTGAGGGGGGAGTAGTACATCCATCCCCCATTATTAGGATGCCATGACCTGGCCAAGGCCAAGTGCACCATTGAAGACGTAATAGAATGGCTCAATCTCTTCCCTAATCTCTCCATTCACCTCACAGTAAAAATGTCCCTATTTGTGTTTAGTTCATCAAGTGCCCTTTCCATTGGAGCTGAAGTAGCTGCCCTAATAGAATGGCCTTTATGACACTGCTGCTGCACTGTATTTCTCATTAAGAGATATGACTCATGTTGTAAACCTGGTATGTTAGGGTTCACTTCAGCCCAAGGCTGTAGGACTAGTGTTGTCGTTTGCAGGGCCTCTGACCAACATAGCAATGTTGACACAAAGATCAGAAGAGGAGAACATTAACCCTCCATTGAGAAGTTGAATACACTTACTGTGGTTGCTCATTTAAATAACATAAATTAAAATTGAATTTGTCACATGCTTGGTAAACAACAGGTGTAGACTAACAGTGAAATGCTTTTGGGCCCTTCCCAATAATGCAGAGAGAAGAATAATAGAAAGATAATAACAGGAGGAATAAATACACAATGAGTAATGATAACTTGGCTATATACACAGGGTACCAGTACTGAGTCGATGTGCAGGGGTATGAGGTAATTGAGGTAGATATGTACAAGTCGGAAGTTTATGTACACCATAGCCAAATACATTTAAACTCAGTTTTTCACAATTCCTGACATTTAATCCTAGTAAAAATTCCATGTGTTAGGTCAGTTAGGATCATCACTTTATTTTAAGAATGTGAAATGTCAGAATAATAGTAGAAAGAATGATTTATTTCAGCTTTTATTTCTTTCATTACATTCCCAGTGGGTCAGAAGTTTACATACACTCAATTAGTATTTGGTAGCATTGCCATTAAATTGTTTAACTTGGGTCAAATGTTTCGGGTAGCCTTCCACAAGCTTCCCACAATAAGTTGGGTGAATTTGGCCCATTCCTCCTGACAGAGCTGGTGTAACTGAGTCAGGTTTGTAGGTCTCCTTGCTCGCACAAGCTTTTTCAGTTCTACCCACACATTTTCTATAGGACTGAGGTCAGGGCTTTGTGATGGCCATTCCAATACCTTGACTTTGTTGTCCTTAAGCCATTTTGCCACAACTTTGGAAGTATGCTTGGGGTCATTGTCCATTTGGAACACCCATTTGCGACCAAGCTTTAACTTCCTGACTGATGTCTTGAGATGTTGCTTCAATATATCCACATAATTTTCCTTCCTCATGATGCCATCTATTTTGTGAAGTGCACCAGTCCCTCCTGCAGCAAAGCACCACCACATCATGATGCTGCCACCCCCGTGTTTCACGGTTGGGATGGTGTTCTTCGGTTTGCAACAACCCCCTTTTTCCTCCAAACATAACGATGGTCATTATGGCCAAAGAGTTCTATTTTTGATTCATCAGACCAGAGGACATTTCTCCAAAAAGTACGACCTTTGTCCCCATGTGCAGTTGCAAACCGTAGTCTGGCTTTTTTATGGCGGTTTTGGAGCAGTGGCTTCTTCCTTGCTGAGCGGCCTTTCAGGTTATGTCGATATAGGACTCGTTTTACTGTGGATATAGATACTTTTGTACCTGTTTCCTCCATCATCTCCACAAGGACCTTTGCTGTTGTTCTGGGATTGATTTGCACTTTTCGCACCAAAGTACGTTCCTCTCTAGGAGACAGACGCATCTCCTTCCTGAGCGGTATGACGGCTGCATGGTCCCATGATGTTTATACTTGCGTACTATTGTTTGTACAGACAAACGTGGTACCTTCAGGCGTTTGGAAATTGCTCCCAAAGGATGAACCAGACTTGTGGAGGTCTACAATTTTTTGTCTGATTTCTTTTGATTTTGACACTGAGATGGAAGGTAGGCCTTGAAATACATCCACAGGTACACCTCCAATTGACTCAAATTATGTCAATTAGCCTATCAGAAGCTTCTAACGCCATGACATAATTTTCTGGAATTTTCCAAGCTGTTTAAAGGCACAGTCAACTTAGTGTACAGTCAACTTCTGACCCACTGGAATTGTGATACAGGGAATTATAAGTGAAATAATCTGTCTCTAAACAATTGTTGGAAAAATTACATGTCATGCAGAAAGTAGATGTCCTAACCGACTTGCCAAAACTATAGTTTGTTAACAAGAAATGTGTGGAGTGGTTGAAAAAATTAGTTTTAATGACTCCAACCTAAGTGTATGTAAACTTCCGACTTCAACTGTAGGTAGGGGTAAAGTGACAAGGTAACAGGATAGATAATAAGCAGTAGCAGCAGCGTATGTGATGAGTCAAAACAGTTAGTGCAAAAAGGGTCAATGCAGATAGTCCAGGTAGCTCTTTGGTTAATTAGCAGTTTTATGGCTTGGGGGTAGAAGCTGTTCAGGGTCCTGTTGGTTCCAGACTTTAATGCTCAATTGTGCTTCTATAATTCAATACTGTGTACACATCATTACCAAACTCATACATACACAAACACATCCTGGCACAGTATCACAGGAGCACAAACACATGTCAGAACATTTCATTTGTTTCTCTGGGCCTCTTGAGTGTGGAGTGAACCCACTGGTCCTAACACCTGGAGAGGGACCAAGGGTTTGGGTTGAAGTGGGGCAGGATGTCAGGAATGAGTTGTGTTGGCCTGCTTCCTGTGTTTCTAGGGCTGCATGTGTGTGATGACGAGAATCTGCCCCTCATGAAAGGACTGACACACTGACCACAGTTGAATTCAGCCGTGTCCATAGCCAGTATTATCAGCAAACCTCAGCTGTCTGTCTTAAACACACAGCAGGGGACATTATGGTTGTCAGGTGAATGGCACTATTACGCCACGTGTTGTGGCAATAATGTTGAATGCTTTATCCTGTATGTTTCTATATATGTTTAGTGGTTATGTATACAGGAGTATGTGTATGTAACAGGGCTCTTTTCTCTGTGTCCTCCACAGCGGCTTGCTGGCAGAAACGGTCAAGTTGCCCAGGTAAACCTGCAGCAGATGCACCAAGAGCCCGCCTTCCTACTGTGGATGGGGCTCCTGATTGGACGACTATTACAGATCATCCTGCAGAGAAGATGATGGGCAGACAGAAGCCTCAATCCCATCCCATGCAGCACCCAGCAGACACATACTGTAGCACCTGGGAGAATTCTGTCAAAGACCTTGTACATATGTGATTATGTAAAATGCTACATTTTCAGAATGGACCTATACAAATTTGTCTTAATGGTTTTTGACCTTGAATGGCCTCAAGATTCCCTGATCCAGGATAAGTTGGAATAGGTAATTTGTACAGTTTTGGGAATACTTTCTTTGGGAATTCTACAACACCTGGAATTTTGCACCTATGTTTCCTGCGCAGATTTGGAAAGCTGAGCCTAATCAAAGCACCAAAGATGGAGTGTCCTGTTGCAGAGTGCTCACAGGGATAACACCATGTGGATAATGCTTTGTGGAGGTTACATGTGCCTTGTACAGTTTCTCTCTTTTTTACTGTGCTGTTTTCCTTTTCTTGCAGCTATTTATTTTTCACCTCTGTATTTTATTTGTTTGTGAGTTTACCCATGATCCGATGTGTAGAGTCTGTGCTGTGTCTGTTCCTCCTGGTTCTCATGGCATCTCACTGTTTCCTTTCCTCATCCAAACCTCATCTGCAATTCTAATTTGATGCAACCAGTTCCATGTCCGGTTCCATTGACCCAGATAAAGCCTGTTTAATGAAGATGCAGTTTCAGTCAAGCCAGACATTTAAATGTTAATATTAAATATTAAATTATATGTAAGCACCCTTTTTTAAATGTATTTTCTTTCCAAACATATTCAGTGTTAAGGGCAATAGCAAGGATGTTAGTAATAATCGTGAGAACAACAACAGCCAAAAACATTGATATTTTACTGTTTTGTCACTTATTTTCCTGCGTCCCTTTTCAACTGTCAAACATCATTGCCGTTATCGGGCGGGCTGTTGTCAGGGCCTTCTTAGCCCAGCTGACACTCATGTTGGCCCGGCCAAGTCCTGTGCAGCGCTGCCAGGTCATTAAACGCTCATAGAAGCTTTGCTGGAAGAGAATCAAACTCTGAGCACCAGGGGAGCAGGGCTTTGTCAATGGAGAGCCATAAAGCAACATTAGCCAGAGGAACAGGCAGAGAGACCCAATGGGGTCAATACCGGTTTTAATGGATGGGATGACTTACAGTGCTTGAGAACGTAGATGGATAAACAGGGACAAAACCCACCCAACGATCTTGAAGGATCTATATCCAAATTCTTGAAAATGTGTTGTATTTCTGATCTGTGGTAGTATTAATGTTTTTTTTTAAGGCCCAGTCCAGTCAAAATTCTGTTTTTCCTGTGTTTTGTATCATATCGTACAACAGCTGATGAAACTATCACTTTAAAAATGTGAAGGAAGTTGAGGCAGTATAAGTTAATATATACCAATAACAAAGAGAGTTCCAAACCTCTTAGCCAATAACACCTAGTTTTCAGATTACATACTCAGAACACTCCCAGCTATTTTTGTTTCTTATTTTACCGTTGTAATGGAAAACTATTACAGTAAGGCACTTAATTGTTACCCAGAAATGATTTGATATTAAGATAAAAACAGCTGCATTGGGCCTTTAAGGATAAACAAAAATTTAAGTAGGGTTACTTTGAATGTTACATGCTACCACATTGTGCACCATGGGTTGGTTTTAAATTGTATGTGTCCCCTTGTGTGAGCCAAAGATTGATTACACTGTAATTTTGCTGGTTAGATCCTATTGTATGGTACAGTATAGGCGTGGTTCAGTCCAACTGCCTTGGCCACCCTTTTGATTCCATTGCCTCCTATTTGTCAGTCTGCCAGTATTTGATGTGAAAATTCATTCCACACCCACAGTTCAATAAATGTTATCCATGACATTAAATGTGAACGGTATAAAATGTAATGATAAAAGCCTATCTTTAAAATAACATAGCACTTACAGCCCATTAGAGGTTTTAATAGCCAAACATCTGCCTTTTAGATTTATTCAAAAAAAGTATGTTTTGCTGACCATGTAGACGAAATGTAAGGTGGATGGTATTAGTTGATGAAATGATCTGCAAACACAATTTCTATTGAGAAGCGTATCATTCCGTCATGTTTTTCTTGGTACCAAAATTGTACTGCTCAGCCATGTCTTTTATATCTTGAATGACTGTATTTTCTTTTTTGGTGTTGTCAAATGAAACCAAAGACCTAATTTCAAAGTACTGTATCTCATAAGGGTGTAGTCGAGTCTAGAGGCTTTCCAAGAGAACAACTGAAAGCTGAATTGTCAACTTCTGAAACCAATATGGAAACTTCTCAGACAGTCAGCCAATGATTCCATGTACTCTAGATATCAATCCATTGAGTGACAGCATAGTCCATACTGTCCATACTTCTTAATGGGTAGAGACCAGACCATAGAGAGAAATAGCATTTTTCCCAGACACATACAATAACTTAATTTTGAGCTGCAACATTCCCAAGTTGTACTTAGGAAGATCCATGAATTTCAACCAGTGTCATCTTGGTGGAGGAAGTGCAGGTGTGTCCCTCTTGCGCTATGATTTCTGTCCCAGAATTGTCTGTTCAGGACCCTTTTGCACTGAGCGCAGACAGACAGAAACGGATTTATCTGACTCACAGGACCCAGTACATTTGTAGCAAAATGTCCATTTTTTACCCCTTCTTTTTCTTTTGCACTGAAATGTTTCAAGGTTGCGATTTATATTGTGCATAATGCTGTGCCTGTATAAAGCCCTTTTTCATCTTAAAAAAAATGTGTTTCTGGTATCTTCTTTCATTGTTGATTAAGCCACATCCTTTTTAATGATAAGTTAGTAAGCCGCTGTCATTGTTCTACAACTAGAACCACACATATTGCAGTCATAATGAATTAATCACAGGCAGTTCAACAGAAACAGAACAGCGCCGGAGAAGATGGCTGCCGTTTTACAGCCCTCTAACCAATTGTACTATTATGTGTGTTTTTCCGCGTTATTTGTAATTTATTTTGTACATAATGTTTCTGCCATCGTCTCTTATAACCAAAAAGAGCTTCTGGATATCAGGACAGCGATTACTCACCTCGTATTGGACGAAGATTTTTTCTTCAACGAGGCGGCCGCGAAGGATATCATACAGACACCCGACAAGGCCGTAGATCGGGGTGCCTTGTAAGGATCCGACGGCGAGCGAGTAAACTGCCTCTTCCATCAATCCTATTAGCCAATCTTCAATCATTGGATAACAAATTGGATGACCTAAGATTACGGTTATCCTACCAACGGGACATTAAAAACTGTAATATCTTATGTTTCACCGAGTCGTGGCTGAACGACGACATGGATAACATACAGCTAGCGGGCTATACGCTACATCGGCAGGATAGAACGGCTGACTCCGGTAAGACAAGGGGTGGCGGTCTGTGTATATTTGTAAACAACAGCTGGTGCACAAAATCAAATACTAAGGAAGTCTTGAGGTTTTGCTCGCCTGAGGTAGAGTATCTTATGATAAGCTGTAGACCACACTATTTACCAAGAGAGTTTTCATCTATATTTTTCATAGCTGTCTATTTACCACCACAAACCAATGCTGGCATTAAGATTGCACTGAATGAGTTGTACAAGGCCATAAATCAACAGGAAAACGCTCATCCAGATGCAGCGCTCCTAGTGGCCGGGGACTTTACCAGCATGTTAAATGTGCAACCAGAGGAAAAAAAACTCTAGACCACCTTTACTCCACACACAGAGACGCATACAAAGCTCTCCCTCGCCCTCCATTTGGCAAATCTGACCATAACTCTATCCTCCTGATTCCTGCTTATAAGCAAAAACTAAGGCAGGAAGCACCAGTGACTCGGTTAATAAAAAAGTGGTCAGATGACGCAGATGCTAAGCTACAGGACTGTTTTGCTAGCACAGACTGGAACATGTTCCGGGATTCTTCAGACAGCATTGAGGAGTACACTACATCAGTCACTGGCTTCATCAATAAGTGCATCGATGATGTCGTCCCCACAGTGACCGTATGTACATACCCCAACCAGAAGCCATGGATTACAGGAAACATCCGCACTGAGCTAAAGGGTAGAGCTGCCGCTTTCAAGGAACGGGACTCTAACCCGGACGCTTATAAGAAATCCTGCTATGCCCTCCGACGAACCATCAAACAGGCAAAGAGTCAATACAGGACTAAGATTGAATCGTACTACACTGACTCTGACGCTCGTCGGATGTGGCAGGGCTTGAAAACTATTACAGACTACAAAGGGAAGCACAGCCGCGAGCTGCCCAGTGACACAAGCCTACCAGACGAGCTAAACCACTTCTATGCTCGCTTCGAGGCAAGCAACACTTAAGCATGCATGAGAGCACCAGCTGTTCCAGATGACTATGTGATCACGCTCTCCGTAGCCGATGTGAGTAAGACTTTTAAGCAGGTCAACATTCACAAGGCCGCAGGGCCAGACGGATTACCAGGACGTGTACTCCGAGCATGTGCTGACCAACTGGCAAGTGTCTTCACTGACATTTTCAACATGTCCCTGACTGAGTCTGTAATACCAACATGTTTCAAGCAGACCACCATAGTCCCCGTGCCCAAGGACTCTAAGATAACCTGCCTAAATGACTACCGACCCGTAGCACTGACGTCTGTAGCCATGAAGTGCTTTGAAAGGCTGGTCATGGCTCACATCAACAGCATTATCCCAGAAACCCTAGACCCACTCCAATTTGCATACCGCCCCAACAGATCCACAGATGATGCAATCTCTATTGCACTCCACACTGCCCTTTCCCACCTGGACAAGAGGAACACCTACGTGAGAATGCTATTCATTGACTACAGCTCAGCATTCAACACCATAGTGCCCTCTAAGCTCATCACTAAGCTAAGGATCCTGGGACTAAACACCTCCCTCTGCAACTGGATCCTGGACTTCCTGACGGGCCTCCCCCAGGTGGTAAGGGTAGGTAACAACACATCTGCCACACTGATCCTCAACACGGGGGCCCCTCAGGGGTGCGTGCTCAGTCCCCTCCTGTACTCTCTGTTCACCCATGACTGCATGGCCAGGCACGACTCCAACACCATCATTAAGTTTGCCAACGACACAACAGTGGTAGGCCTGATCACCGACAACGATGAGA